TAAGTCCTTAAGCTTTGTTCTCCTTATCTTAAAACATCTTTGGTTATTCTAGATTCCTTCCATTTTAATAAGAACTTTAAGATCATTTATCATTTTCTGCACACAAAAAATTGCCGCTACCACTGAATGTTTGATTTGGATTGTACTCAATGTATAGATCAACTTAGGGAAGAGGACCTTTTAAGCAACATGGAGTCTTACAACACATGAGCATGACATGTCACTCCATTTATTTAGGTCATCTTTATTTGTGCTCAATAATATTTTCTATTTTTTAGTGTATACATCTGGATATCCTGTCTTTGAATTGATAATAAATATTCTAATGGTTTTTGTTGCTACTGTGTATGGAATTGATTTTTAAATTTCATTGCTCAATTTTTTTGTTCACTAACATATAAAAATTCATTTGGTTTCTAATATGGTAATTTGTATCCCATGACCTTGCTAATTTCACTTATTACTTTTAGTACTTATTTTGTAGATTCTCTGTTAATTTCTACATAAATAAGCATAGCATTTCTATGCAAAGACCTTTTTTTCTTTTCATTATTTATTTGCTTTTTAAATTATTTGCTTCTTTTATTGCATTGGCTCTGACCTCCAGAGTGTTGTATATAAGTGGTAATAATGAATGTCCTTGCCTCCTTCCCAATCTTAAGCTGAAAGCAGTCAGACTTATTAGTGTAAGACTTGTTTTTTAAAGATGGTTTTCATCACTCTGAGGAATTTACCTACTATTCATAATGTGGTGAGAGTTTTTATCATTAATGCATCTTGCATTTTATCAAATACTTTTTCTGAGTGTATCGAAATAGCAGTATTTTTTCTTACTATATCAACATTCTAAATTATATAGATTGATATTTGAAGTTTTTAAAAGTTTACTTATTTATTGAGAGAGAGAGAGAGAAACACAAGGAGGGCGGGGCAGAGAGAGAATCCCAATCAGGCATCGCTTTGTCAGCAGAGAGCCTAATGTGGCGTTCAATCCCATGGTCATGAGACCAGATGACCTGAGCTGAAATCCAGAGTTGGACGCTCAACTGACTGAGCCACTCAGATGCCCCTGATGTTTGAATATTAAATCAAGATTGCATTCACAGCACAAACCGTCCTTGGTTTTTGTATATTATTCTGTCTACAAAATAATTTGGATTCTAGTGGCTAACATTTTGTAAGGAGTCTTTACATCTATATTCATCAGGCAAATTGGCTTATAGATTTTTTTTTCTTTTTGTTTGGTTTTTGGTTTTGGGATCAGAGTAATGCTAAACTCATAAATAAGTTGGAAAATATTTCCTTTTCTACAGTGGTGTGTGTGTGTGTGTGTGTGTGTGTGTGTGTGTGTGTGTGTGTAGTTGATATTATTTGTTCTTTAAATGTTTGATAGAATTTACCAGCAGAGTGATATGGGTCTGGAGTTGTTCTTGTGGGTAGATTTTAACTATAAATCAGTATCTTTAATAGATACTGGACTATTCAGGTTTTCTTTTTTGTTTCTTTTTCTTTTTTTCCTGAGTGAGCTTTGGTAGTTTGTGCTTTACAAGGAACTTATCCATTTCAGTAAATTGTCATATTTATTGAAAGTTGTTCATGATATTCCTTTTTTAATCTTTAAATATATTTAGAATCTGTAGCAGTTTCATCTCTCTCAATTTTTGTAATTTATTCTTTTATTTCTGATCAGTTCAGCCCTAAGCTTCTAAATTTTTTTCACCTTTTCAAAACCAGTTCTTGATTTTATTGATATTTTTCTCCTGCTCTAATTTTTTAAATTGATTTCCATCCTGATCTTTATTATATTCTTTCTTTTGCCTAATTTGGGTTTATTTGTTCTGGGTGTTTTGCTGTTGTTGTTTTTGTTTTTTTTAATTTTTAAGGTGGAAGCTGATGTCACTGTGTTGTGACCTTTATTCTTTGTAATGTAGGCATTGAGTCCTGTGCATTTCTCTCTAATCACTTTCTTAGTGGCATCTCACAAATTATGTATTGCATTTCTATTTTCCTACAGTTCCAAAAATCCTTTTCATCAAATTATTATGCTGTACACCTTAAATTTACACAGTTCTGTGTGACAATTGTATTTCAATAAAACTAGGGGAAAATGTAGTCTCTTTTCATTTCTCTTGTCCACTTTTATTTCTTTTTTGATGCAGAGATTATTTAGGTACATGTTGTTTAGTTTCCCTATATTTAGTGTTTTCCAGGTATAGTTCTTCTACTTTGGTCTTAGTTGCATTGGGGTTTGAGAATATATTTTGTATGACTCTGATCATTTTCAATTTATTCAAACTTGTTTTATCTTTAAGAGTATGATCTCTCTTGCTAACTGTTTCCTGTGAAACTGAATAGAATGTATATTCTTCTCAGAGGGACACCTGGGGGGTGCAGTCAGTTAAACGTCACTCTTGATCTCGGTTCAGGTCATGATCCCAGAGTCATGGGATTGAGCCCCGCTTGTGGCTCTGTGCTGAGCATGGAGCCTACTTGGGATTCTCTCTCTCTCTCTCTCTCTCTCTCTCCCCCCTCCTTACTTGAATTCTCTCTTTGTCTCTCTCTCTCTCTCTCTCTCTCTCTCTCTCGGAAAAGAAAAAGGAATGTGTATTCTTCTCTTACTGGATGAAATGTTCTATAAATATCAATTAAGTCAAACTGGTTGGTAGTGCTTTCTATCTCTTCTGTATACTTAATGAATTTTTATGTGTTTTCTGTCAATTTTTGAGAAAAGAAAGTTGAAATATGATATATCTCAATATAATTTTGTAGCTTTGCCTGTTTCTCCTTGTTGTTGGGTCAGTTTCTGTTTTAAGAATTTTGAAAGTCTGTTATTAGGTCTACTTGATGAGCTGACACCTTTATTATGATGAAGAGACCTTCATTATCCCTGGTGAAATATTTTGCTCTGAAATTTACTTTGTTGTTGTTATAGCCATGCCAGCTTTCTTGTTACCAATGTTACTGTGCTGTATCTTTTCACATTGTATTAATTTTACGAACTACTCTGTCTTGATATTTGAAGTGAGTTTCTTATAAGTGGGTATGGTTGAATCTTGCTGTTTATCTAATGATCAATCTTTTAATTCGGGTTCTTCATACCAGTTATATTTTAATGTGTCTTTTTTATATAATGAGCTTTAAATCTGCCATCTTGCTACATATTATTTGTTTTTCATTTTTCCTGTCATTTCTCCTCCACTGGTCAACTTTCTTCTTTTTGGCCTTTTTGTTTGACTATTTATTATTAATTAATATTAATTAATTATTTTATTGATCCTCTTTTATCTTCTTTAATGTCTTGATAATGTAATTCTTTACTGTACCATGCAAAAGTTGCTTTATTTTTTATACACACTTCTAAAACTTATCATAGTCTGCCTCAGGCAATAGTTACATCACTTCACATATAGCATAAGACTATTTCAATAGTATTTTTCCCTTTTGGCATTTGTGAGATATGGTTGTCATATGTTTCTTTGATATATAAATGCTGTAAATCCCTTACTACATTCTTATTGTTTTTTTTTAATCACTTTCTTTTAAAAACATTTAAATAATAGTAGGAAAAATGTTCTATAGGCTCACAAAATGACCATTTCTTGTATGTTTACATTCCTTTGTGTAATTATCATTTTCATCTGATAACATTTTCAGGAGCTTGGAGGGCTTCATTTAACATTTGTTACAGTGCAAGTCTCTTACAAAAGAATTATTTCAGTTTTTATATGTCTGAATGAAAAAATATTTATTACATCTCCTTTTTGAGAAATAGTTTGGGCATAGAATCCTAAGTTGACAGTACTAAAATACTTTAAAGTATTTCTTGAAATAATTTAGAGTTATTGCTTTGTCTCTGATATGAAATCTGTTGCACTTATCTTTGTTCTTCTCTGTGTAATGTGTCTTTTTCTCCTTTTTTAAATGTTTAGTGCTTTTTTAAGAATTTTTTTTAATGTTTTTTATTATTTATGAGAGAGAGAGACAGCGTGAACAAGGGAGGATCAGAGAGAGAGGGAGACACAGAATCCGATACAGGCTCCAGGCTCTGAGCTGGCTGTCAGCACAAGGCCCGACTTGGGGCTTGAACCCATGAACCGTGAGATCATGGCCAGAGCTGAAGTTGGATGCTTAATCGACTGAACCACTCAGGCGCCCCTCTCCTGGTGCTTATAAGACTTTCTCTTTATCACTGTTATTGAGCAATTAGATCATGATGCATTCTTTTGTACTTTTCTTCATGTTTCTTGTACTTAGTTTTTGTTAAACTTGACATCTTTAGTTAATGTCAAATTCGGAGATTTTTAAGCCATTATTTCTTCAGATATCTTTTTTGTCCTCTTTCCCCCTTCTTTGAAGACTCTAATTGTACCTATATTATGCCACTTAATATTGTCTCACAGGTCATTGATGCTCTGTTCATTTTTAAGTCTTAAATTTTTTTTTCTGAGTTTCATCTGGGATTAGTTTTTTAATTTTATTTTTCGGCCTGAAGAATAATTGACATACAGTGTTATGTTAATTTCAAGTATACAACATAGGAATTTGACAGTCCTGTACATTACACAGTGTTCACCATGTAAGTGTAGTTGCCACCTGTCACCATACAATGTTATTACAGTGTTATTGATTATATTTCCTATGTTTTACGTTTCATCCCCATGACTAATTTGTAACTGATAAGATTGTACCTCTTGATCCCCCTCACCGATTTCATTCACCCCCCCCACTCATTTTCCTCTGCATCTACCAGTTTGTACTCTGTACTTAATGAATCTTTAAAAAAATTTTTTTAAATGTGTATTTATTTTGAGGGACAGTACAGTGTGAGTGGGGGAGGGGCAGAGAGATTGGAGAGAGAGAATCCCAGGCAGGCTCCACGGTGTTAGCACAGAGCCTGATATAGGCTCAAACTCCGAAACCGTGAGACCTGAGCTGAGATCAAGAGTCGGATGCTTAACTAGCTGAGGCACCCAGGCACTCCTGTACTTATGAATCTTTTTAACAATATGAAATACTTCACAAATTTATATGTTGTCCTTATGCAGGGGTTATGCTAATCTTCTCTCTGTTGTTCCAATTTTAATACATGTACTGCCAAAGTGAGCAGTGAGATCCTTTATATTGCTCCATTTTTAAGTTCACTAATATTTTCTTCTGCAATGTGTAATCTGCTATTAATTTTACCAAGTGTGTATTTACTCTCAGATATGGTAGTTTTATCTCATCTCATTAATCTCATTGTAGTTAAAATTTTTTAAAAAATGTTTATTTATTTTTGAGAAAAAGATAGAGACAGAGTGCAAGCAGGGGAGGGGCAGATAGAAAGGGAGACACGGAATCTGAAGCTGACTCCAGGCTCTGAGCTGTCAGTATAGAGCCCATCGTGGGGCTTGAACTTATGAACCATGACAGGACCTGAGCTAAAGTGGGACACTCAACAACTGCGCCACCCAGGTGCCCCAGCTCTCTGTAGTTTTAATCATAAATTCACTTTGGTCTTTTTTATATGTTCAAGGTCTTACATAGCATGTTCAATCTTACAGTTTTTTGAACACATGGAATGCAATTATAATATCCATTTTAATGTTCTTGTATGCTAATTCCATCATCTGTGTTAGCACTGAGTCTGTTTTGATTTATCACTTTTTCCCCTCATTATGTATAGTTATTTTGGCAATTCTTTTTATGCCTGCTAATTCTTGATTGGATGCCAGACATTGTGATGTTTTACCTTGTTGTGTGCTTGAAAAGTTTTTATTTCTTAGAGTCTAATTTTTTTCTGGAATGTGGTTAAATTATTTGGTTTAATTATTACAGTTTGATCCTTTCACATTTTGTTTTTGGTATTTATTAGTCAGTACCAGAGTAACATTTAGCCTAGGAATAATTATTTTCTATATCTGAGGTAAGACTGTTCTTAATTTTCTACCCAATGCCCCCATGAATTATGAGGTTTTACAGTCTGGCTCTTGATAACAGGTGGTATTCTCAGTCCTTTGTGGGTGTCTATTCTTGTTCTCTTTAATCTTTCTGTTGACTTCCCTCTCCTCCCCCACCATCTTCTGGTAGTCTCATCCCATTCATACTCTGCTTAGTACTGAATGAAATATTCACGTAAATCTCTGGAGTTTTCTTGTACATATCTCTTCGCTTTTGATACTCTTCCCTGTGAGATTTTGTGTCTTTGTTTTCCTGGTCTATCAGATATGTCTCCTCATTTCAAGGAACGTTCTGGACTCACCCCCAGGTTCCCATGTCTGTGCACCAGCCTGAAAACTCTCTCAAGGAAATCAATTGGGACAGTCACAGACAGAATCTTGTTTCTCATGTCTTCTTCATAGCCCAGTGTCCAATGTCTTTAAAATCTTTGTTTCAAATATTTTCTTTAGGTTCCTATGTTTTTAGTTGATATTGTAAATTCAGCTTTTTTTAAGTTCATTTTTGGGCCAGAATTGGAAGTCCTGTGACTGAAAAAAAGTAGGCATCAAGTTGTTTTATAGATTTTGATTTTATAAAGATTGTCCATTAGTAGAGCAGAAGTTATGTGTTTTAGCTAGTAAAATAATTTATAAGTATAAGCAGAAATGGTCCACTAAGGAAGAGATCTCTATGACAAAAAGCATAAAAGAGTTAGATAGTTTGTTGTGGTTACTATTGATTATTGCATCTTGTGAGTATCTCTATCTATATTTATATTACATCTCTACTTTAGCCATGATTTTTGAAGTGAGAATTTTGATGTGAACAAAATACTTTTATACACTGAAGCCTATATAACTTTCAGAAGCACAAATTTGTTATTTCTTTGTACAGAAAAATCTGCAAAATTAGCAGGCATGTTAGATATGGTTTTCCTGTGATAAGTAGTGATAACACCTGACTTAATTCAGAACTTAACTCTAACATTGTAACATTGTGCAAGCACAAAGAACTAAGTTGAGTTTTGCAATATTTAACAGAAATCTTTTTTGTCTTGAAAATTAGAACATATCATGAGCATGGTAGTTAACACTATTAACTGTAGTGAGTCCTCATGCTGAAGACATAATTTTAGGGGCACCTGGGTGGCTCAGTTGGTTAAGCAACCCACTTGTAATTTCAGTGCAGGTCTTGAATACAGTATTTTACTGCTTCTAAGATGGAACCCTGTGTGTTGGGCTCTGTGCTGACAACATTTGGGATTCTCTCTCCCTCTCTCTGCCCCTTCCCCGCGTGCACTCTCTCCCCCCACCTCTCTCTCAAAAAGTAAATAAACACTAAAAAAAAAAAAAAAAAAAAAGAGATTTTAGCACCTTTGCCAGTGAATTTACTGTTAAATGTCTCAATCATGATTTATCCCTGTTGTGGTCAGGAGAGCCTGTGTACTATTGGAGAAATGAATTTGTTCATGTCATCTTAAGGTACATCCTTGCCTCAAGTTTACATTGAAGATTGAAGGAAAGACTTGGGCTTTTAATTTATATTAAAACCCATCTCAGTAAGGTCAATAATTTTCTGGAAGACTATTCATAAATAGTTATTCAAAAACATAGGAAATATATCCAAGCAGTTTATCATTTGTAACACATGTACGTTATAGTGAAGGATGACAGTAGTTTGAGAAGTTGTGGGCGTGGGCACAGGTGGTATATGGGAACTCTTTGTATGTTCCTCTCAATGATGCTGTGGACTTAAAAATTCCCTAGGGAATGAAGTTTATTAATTAAAAAAGACAAAATTTATATATTCCTAACAAAACCATCATTGGGAAAACTGTTTTTCAACAAAGAGTTTCTCCCCCTTTCTCGTTCTTCTGGTAACCAGAAATGAAAGTAATAACCTACAATAAGTATGCAGAATTTAGAAGTTGAAGTATAGAGTCCCCCAAATGTTCCCTGATATCTCTGCTTATAAAAATGAGCCACATTATTCAATTAGACTGTTTCAATTTACAGTATTGGGGGAAAGGAAGAAATGTGAATTGAAGTTAATGAACTATAGTGAAATTTGATGCTGACAGTGAATTTAAGCATCTTATGAAGTTTTAAGACATGTTACCTAAATATTAAGACCATTGTGCAAATAGTATATTCAAGGTTTGACGTATATGTGTATACAGACATAGTTTATTATTAAGAAACCAAGTGAAGTTAAATACTGTGCCATTTGAATAATTCAAAAATAATTTGTATGCTGTGTTTCACACTGTGAAATACAAGACTAGCTATCATCACCTTAGCACACAAAAATTACTGATTTTTCACATACACAAGCATCAATACCCAATAACCAAAAATGATTAACAATTTTTAAACTTTCCAACATTTAGTTTTTGTTATTAAATGTTTATTTATTTATTTTTGAGAGAGAGAGAGAGAAAGGGAGAGAGAGAGAGCAAGTGAGGGGCAAAGAGAGAGGGAGAGAGAGAATCCCAGGCAGGCTCTGCACTGTCAGCACAGTTTGAGATGGAGCTCAAACTCCCAAACCTTGAGATCATGACCTGAATCAAAGTCAGATGCTCAACTGACTGAGCCACCAAAGAGCCCCCCAACACTTAGTTTTTAAAATTTAGATTTGACAGTATAATCTAAGGTTGTGTATATATCATATATTATCTTTTTTTTTTTTTTTACAAATAGTTTATTGTCAAATTAGTTTCCACATAACACTCAGTGCTCATCCCCACAAGTGTCCTCCTCCATGCCCATCCCCCCCCCCCCCCACATCCATCAGTCCTCAGTTTTTGTCAGCATTCAAGAGTCTCTCATGGTTTGCCTCTCTCCCTTTCCCCCACCATTTCCGCCCTTCTTCTCCCCCTTGTTCCTCTGTCAAGTTCCTCCTAATCCTCCTGTACGTGCAAACATATGATATTTGTCCTTCTCTGCCTGACTTATTTCACTCAGCATAACACCCTCAAGGTCCATCCATGTTGCTACACATGGCCAGATTTCATTGTTTCTCATTGCCATGTAGTATTACTTGACACATCCCCAAAAGCAAGGGAATCAAGAGCAAAAATAAATGATTGGGACCTCATCAAGATTAAAAGCTTCTGCACAGCCAAGGAAACAACCCAGAAAATTAATAGGCAACCAACGGAATGGGAAAAGATAGTTGCAAATGACATATCTGATAAAGGGTTAATATCCAGAATCTATAAGGAACTCACCAAACTATATCATATATTATCTTATGTGCTACCATATTTTCAGTGGTGTGATAGAATCAGTTTATGCTGTTTGTGGAGGACAAATTTTAAAATATTCAGGATTTTTAAAAAATTGTAGTAAGAATACTTAAAATGAGATCTACCCTCTTCATGTATTTTTCAATTGTACAAGATAGTATTGGTAACGATGAGCATAATGCTGTACAGCAGATCTCTGGAACTTACTCATCTTGCATAACTGAAACTTTATGCCTTTTGACCACTATAGCTCTCTATTTCCATCTTCTTCCAGCCCCTAGACACCAGCATTTTACTTTCTCTTTCTATGAGTTTTACTTTTTAGATACCTCATGTAAGTTGACTCATGCAGTAATTGTCCTCTACTAGCTTAGATCACTTAGCATGATGTCTTGACCTAGTTGTTAGCCATTAGTAGCTTGAAGTAGCCAATGAGAGGAATATTTACAGCATGGAAGATGGAAAATACCAGAAGTCAGGTTTTTGTTTTGTTTTGTTTCCAGGAAGCTAGTTTACCAACACATTTCTAAATACTTGACTGAAAATATTTCTGATGGTTGTTCTTGTTTTTTTTCTTACACCTTGCCAGAGTCAGTCATTTATATTACTCTGTCAGGTTACTGTACGCATTTGGGATTCTGATTTTCGACCAGAGAAAAGACACAAATATTTCACCAGGCAGGCAGGAGAGCTGAGAGCACTGCTCCCAGCTGATTAATGACCGTGGACATTTGCTTCAGTTGTATAGCTCGTTGCCTGGTCTTTCCTAGCCTGGAGATCCACCAGGGCATTTGTGCCACAAAGTCAGGGCAGGCTCCAAATCTATACCTGCCATTTCAGGAGAGTAAGATAGCTTAGGAGAGTATGAATTTTAAGGTATTGATGAACCAGCAGCCATCAGAGAAAGAACCTGACGCATAGAGACTCTGGAAGCAAT